AGTCAGCTTTCCAAAAAGTATAAATTCTATATACATCTTCTTAGAAACTTTTTAGATAACTTAAAAAAAAAAGATACTTTTTTCCCAAAAAAATGACAAAAAATCGCCTTTTTTTAATTTTTTAAATTTAAATGCCTATAACTTTGGACTCAGTCATGATTTTTACATAATTCTTTCACTGCTTGGTATATAAACTTGTTGTTAAGCAAATAAGCTATTATCAAAAAAACTAAAGTAAGGACGGTAAAAATTTTAAAATTTTAATATTCAAATGCGAATATCTCCTAAACTATAAGAGATAATTTACTGCTACGACGACATTTTTTATAGTGCTCGATGAGGAGATTCTATATACGAAATTTTTTTTAAATCGGAACTCAAATAAAGAAATAGGATCGTTTTAAAAATTTAACATAGCCGAGGTGTCCTAATTTGAGGACCCCCCGCCGGGCCCCTGGTTGGCCTATAAGGTCCAAATTCAAAACCTAAACTCGACAACACCTCCTCTTTGTGCACACCAAATTTCATTAAAATCGGATTAACCGTTTAGAAGTTACCGAATTATTTCCCTCTTTTTTTTTTCCTATACCACTGTGCGCTGTCAACCAGTAGATATTCAGGAAGAAATGTCAGGACTAGAACCACCAAAGATATTGAAGCTATTGCTTCAAATCTTTGGCGTGAAAAACCCCTAACGATTTCCCCTGAAAATCTTCGACCTCATATAAACTGTTTCCGACTGGTCGGACATTCGGCATTTAGAAATTTTCGGGCGAATTTGGCGTTGAAATTGTTTTTAAAATCGCTCTGCTGGAAGTTACGTCGGTAGACTTCTTGACCGGGTATGAATTGACTGACGACACGCGTATTATACGATTTTTCGTTGCGAGCGTAGGCTTATGAGATTTTCGCGAATTTCTGCGTATCAAATCCAATCTATCAGCATTCGGAATGACGTTAGTTTCGGGATCGTTTAAGATTCTAAGTTTCGTGCCAACTGGTATACACTACCATGGCCAATCAATTTCATTCCGAATAAGGCGAAATAAGGCGTAACTCCTATCGACGACTGCACGGAAGACCTTAAGGAAAACTCAATTTCGGACAAATGCTTGTCCCATTCTGTATGGTCTTCCTGCAGATACGACCTTACGGCTGCTAAAAGGATGATTAACCCGCTCGGATGCATTAGCTTGCGGCGAGTGAGTTGCCGTTCTAACATGTCTGACACCGAAATTCTTTATCATATCCGCGAATTCTTTACTTACGACTGCTTTCCATTGTCCGAAACGATTGTTTCCGGAGTTCCGAATTTATGAAAAATTCCGAGATTAAAATTTGACTACGTTTTAGTATCGGCTTTCGGCAAAGCTTTAAGGAACACAAATTTAGTCAAGTGAATCTAAGACAATGAAAATGCAGACGTTATTATTTTTTTAGACCGCGGGTACGGACCGAGAAAATCAATGAAAAATTCTTTGAAATGGGGTGTTCAGTCTGAACTTCGGCTCCCATCGGTGGCTGAGCGTAGTATTCGCTGGCTTAGCTTCCTTGCAGGTTTGGCACATTCTTACGTAATTTCTGACTTGGACATTTTGATTTGGCCAGTAAAAATATTCTTTTACTCTATAAAGAGTCTTACCGACGCCTCCATGAGACGCTTGTGGGGAATCATGACATGCTTTTATGATGTCCTCTGTCAGATCTAGCGGTACCCATAACTTCCACGCGAAATCCTCATTCGTAGCTATACCGTCGTAAGGCTTAGTACGTTTGTAAACAAAAACTATCGAAGACCTTTAAATCGGGCAATTGTTCGGCATTTTCTCGACTGTGTCTATGAGGTTACGATAATCTTCTGACCGGAAAGAAACTGAAGTTAGGTCAATGAGTTTAGGTACGTTTAACGAGATTTCGTCCATATCATAGCGAGAGAGGGTATCGGGTACTACATTTTGCTTCCCCTGCCTGTGTTCAATCGTAAAATCGTACGATTGCAGATGTAGACTCCATCTAGCTAAACGACCTGTCAAATCCTTATGACTCATGAGCCACTTCAGACTACTATGGTCCGTAATGACGGTAACAAGGCATCAATTCTATGTAGGGCCTAAACTTCTTAATCGCCAAGACTACAGCTAAACACTCTCGTTCAGTTACAGAATAGTTTTTTCTGCGCTGACGTTAGTTGTGTGAAAAGTAGGCTATTGGATGCTCTCCATCGGAATCATCCTTCTGGAAAAGCACTGCACCAATACCTACGTCAGACGCATCACACTGAACGAAGAAATGTTTGTTGAAGTCAGGATGATTAAGGAGTGGACTTGAAACTAGAGCTTCCTTGAGACGATCAAACGCGACCTTGGCTTCCTCCGAAAACTTGAATTGTTTACCCTTCTTCAGCGTTTCAAAGATTGGGGCTGCAATGGTAGCATAGTCTGGTATAAATTTCCTATACCAGCCTGTTGCTCCCATGAAGCTCCGCACCTGTCTTGCTGTCTTAGGATAAGCAAAACGAGTAATGGTCTCTACTTTGGACGGATCAGGTTTCAATTTGCCACCTCCAACTATGTATCCTAGATATCTTAACTCCTTAAAACAAAATTTAGACTTCGCCACATTGATGGTCAGACCTGCTTTGCTAAACAGATAGATACACGTTTCAACAATTCCAGATGTGTTTCGAATTCTGGAGATACAATCAAAAGATCGTCCAGATAGACGAAAACCCTATCACGAAGTGCTGCGGGGATCACTTTATCCATTAAACGGCATAACCTTTGGGCCGCATTGCACATCCAAAAGGCATGACCGTAAATGGTAGAGTGGTCGTCCTGGCACCGTGAATGCGGTTTTCTCTTTACTGGACGATTCTAGTGGTATCTGCCAGAACGCGTCTTTTTAGGTCGACACTAGAGATGTATATCGTGTCTCCCAAACGACTGAGCAAACCTTCGATGTGCGGAAATGGATAGGCATCCTTGACTGTCAGAGCATTGAGCTTACGTGCGTCCAGGCACAGCCTGTTTTTCTCGCCCCTGCGGACCAGAGTAACTGGATGACTCCATGGACTTTCACTAAGCTCAATCACACCGAGGTCAAGCATCCTATCGAGCTCCGCGTACATCAACTTTTGTACTGCCGGGGAGACAGGATAGTGACGATCTTTAACTGGAATTGCATCTCGAGTATCTATCGTATGCATTTCCAAATTTGTTTTTCCTAAGCCCTTTTTACTGTAGCAGGGGAACATCGATATGACGAAATCTAATCTTTGTCGCTGATCCGGGGTCAGCTTATGAGTCACGACATCTAGGGTACTATCTGCCTCCTCGCAGAGACTAACTCCATTAGTCGTAAGACTCTCGAGGCTGGCAAAACATTTTAAAAACCTTCATAAAATCGACCCCCAAGAAGAGCTCTCGATTCAGAGTAGGCACTAAATAGAATGTGATATCATTTACCGCATCACGAAACCTAACTTCAGCCCTGACACGACCGACTATCGGATGATTGGTACCATCTGCTGTTTTTATAACACTACTAAATTCGTGAACCTCAAGACCGGCGTCATTAACGAACTTTAGACAATTCCTACCGAGACAAGTTACCGTTGCCCCGCCTATCAAGTAAACCGATTATATTTTGGCCGCCTATACTTAATCGCGTATACAGTCGTGAGTCTTCACCCTCGTAAAGTGAAGCCGACGAAATTTTATGACGTAGCCTTTTCCTCACTTTATAACGTTCTCGAGCTTTTCTAATTTTATTCGTCACTCGACCGAATATTCTACTTCTAGCTTCATTATACTCTTGAATCCGAATATGCAGGGGTTTGAGTTCTCGAAGCCGGGGCTCAGATTTGAACTCAAACTCCGACCTATTCGGATTCTTTAATATTCTCAATTGTGGTTGTTTGTTGTTGCTTTTCCCTACACTGTACTGGGCCTACACCTCGGTCGACCCTCGCCTCCCCAGTTCGAGACGGGTTCCGGGACCTGTTTCCCTGACATTTGGGACACTTAGGGGGCCACCACGTTATCTTTACCACACCGGAAGCAAAACTGTCTGGTAATAGGCTCGGGACAGTCGACAAAACTATGACCAATGACCTTACAGTTCCAACAGGTATAGTGACTTGTGGACCGTATACCATCAACCTCCAAATCTATCAGCGACAAATCCTCCTCCTCACAAACCAGTTCATTCACCCTATGGGTAACATTAGTTCGCTGGTACAGTTGTCTTTGGTTAGCGATTAGATTCTCTGCCCGCCTCACCTCCCGACAAACTCGGAAAAAGTTTTAAGGCGAATCGAGAACATCATTTGAGCTAATGACGGTTTTAAATTCCCTCTCATGATTTCTACAAGTTGCTCCTCCGCATATGGGTGCTGCTGCTGGTTCGGAGCTTTATGACCGCATTGTAATAATCATCAAATGCCTCTTGCGGCAACTGACGGCGATTGAGAATCTTCATTTGTATTTCGTGCTCTTGTTCGAAACGACGGTATTGTGCTAGCAGGGCTTTCTCCAACTCCTCCCAGGTATTAATGTGGACAATTTTTCGGTAATCCCAAGTACCAGTCTAGAGCGGGGGCCGTCTAGAAGGAGATGGAAACTCTCAGGATTTCATCATCAGAGCATCCGTAATCCCTCTTCAACGCTCCAACTCTAAAAATGAATTCTTGGACATTCATAGTTTGCTGGTCCCATCAAATCTCACTCCCCATTGGCTAATTTAAACTTATCCAAGGGCTCTTGAGGTCTTGGCATGGACATTGCCAAGTTGTAGTTTAGAGGCGGTGGCGGTTGCTGAGCGGGTGGCCCCGACCAAGTATCCTGTGGATACCCAGCCTGGGACGCACTTTGCCGTTGGAAATTGGCCTGTGGACCTTGTGGTGGCTGCGGCCATAGTTGCTGTTGCTGAATAAAAGCGTGAGCTGACGGTTGGACGTACGGCAACTGGTTTTGTGGTTGTGGCTGGTTATGCCTGTTGCGCTGGCTGTAGATTCTGGGGGTTTCCCTGCGACCAAAGTTGCTGCGGCTGACTATTACACGCCGCCGGCTGCTGGATAAGCGGCAGAGGATTTTGCTGCTGAAGCAGCGACTGCTGCTGCTGGTACGGTGTCTGTACTGGCGGCTGCTGATATGAAGTCTGTACTGGAGGCGGCTGGATGCTAGCCTCTACTACTCTGGGAGCTGCTGGACCGACGGGTACATAATTTGGAGCTGGAATTAATGGTGGTGGCTGCTGATAAGTCGCCGGGCCAAGCGGCGTCGCTGGTTGACCATACCCCGATGGCTGTGCCTCCAAAGAGGTTCTGAAAGGCTGTGTAGTCGGCATTCCTTGGCCGATAGGGGACATCTCGGCAGGCACGGGAGCCGCATTACTCATCGACAGCGACAAAAACAGCTGCTTCATGTCATCTAATACTTTTTGTATTTTGTTGTCGACCTCCTTCATAAATTGAACTTGGCGCAAACCCACCGAAGCATCCACTATATTCTGGATGTCATTCACTTGGATGGAATTTTCCATCCCTTGGCCTGCCATACTACCTCGAACTTCCCTCCTAATGTTCTGCGCTGTTTCGCTTAGGAATGTCGGTGACACTACTGTCTGATTTGCACTCTCAGAACTGATGGACAGATCGTGGGTGCTGTGTGTAGTTGTAGTCGTTGTTGTACTGGCTGTGGGATGGGTAAACGTAGCGATAGATGCGGTAGGGGTATCGGTACTACAAGTTACATTACTCGCTGTTGCCATAGCGTTGGTTTGTTGTTCTAAACGACCCGCGCGACGGGTTAAAACCATTTAAAACAATTAATACAAAATTCACACTTATTTAAAAAAACAAGGTGTGTAAATATATATAAATACGAAATTCGTAGCACAGAATCTTTTGCAGCGTAAGTTCCAAAAGAAGATATAAACTAAAAGATTTTCGATCTTTCAAACAAAAAACCAAAAGAAAACAAACTCAAAATTCAAAACTTAAATAACTTGTATGCGGGCGGCATTTTCGGGTAAATAAAAGTTTGCAGGTAAGTTTTCACAATTTACATTGCTGAATTGTGTATAGATATGACCTAATTATTTTCCTATTCTGGTTTCAGGAGATGCAGAGTACGACTAACAACAACAACAAAACAAAAGGATGTACAAGAACTAATTGTCTTCCTACAGTACGGACTAACGAGGTGCAGCTTGATCAAGGTTACGTTCCTCTGGTATTCAAGGACTACCTTCCTAGACTTCCTGTAGAACTAAAACGTACGTATCTTTACGTTAAGAGCAATTAATTTTGGGCTATTGTAATCTAAAGGGATGTTGTAGCTATCCTTCCATCCAACTTGAGCATTTAGAGAATAAACTGTGTCTATTATCTCTAAGCCTCAAGTTGTTAGGAAAGGATAGCAACGAATGAATCCAGAATTCCGACCCTATTGTCCACACCAGATGTCGCAACGCGATCGGGACTCTTTAGTCCTCGAGACCGGGACTTACATCTGTGAGAACAATAGTTGCCATGCGCAATTAGGGATTCATACCTATTGAAACTAAAAGGAAGAAAAAATTAAAAATGTCAATACCCTATCCCGTCCGCCTACGTAGCTACAGCTAGGGACTCTTATTAACCTAACCGGCCTACGCAGACTTCAGGGAAATGATAGCTCCTATAAATTGGTCTATGGACCTACTTCGTGCCCCACGTTGGGCGCCATTTATGTAGTAGTGTGTTGTGTCAGCTGTTTGTTTAAATAAACAAACAGACAACATAAACACAAAAAGGAACAGAGCGGCCAGATTGCTAGCGGCGCTGGTATGCCCGCGTATTGCGCGGCTAAAGCTCGCCGGATGGGGTGGTTCTTGCCGGCAATCTGGACCACAAAACACACACTAACACAAAAATTCATACCAGCATTTGGGGGTATTATTAGAAAAGGGGCCAAAAGTAATCCTGCATCTCCCTACGGTCATACCTATACACAATACGACCCTCCCTCTCGAGGATTCATCCTCGCCATGACGTCATCTTCCTCGACGTCCCAGATCTTCCCTGCAAACATTTAGTCACCCTACTTACCGCCGATTATTAGAAATTTACCACATCATATTAATGATAACAAACTTAAATTTTCATTTAAACATTATAAAGGTTTCTGTTTATTATAAAAAAAATTAACAATGTCTCATCGAAATTTAGAATTTGAGTTTTAGAAAAATTTTAAAATATTAGCAAATTTTTAATAATCCAACTTCAGATGATAATTATTAACAAATTAAGTTTTTAATAATTATGCAAATTTAGGTTTTAGCAAATTTAGTTTTTAGTTTTAAGATTTTAACAAACTTTAGTTTTTAAGTTTTAGCAAAATTTAGTTTTTAAGTTTTAACAAAATTTAGTTTTTAAGTTTTAACAAGATTTAGTTTTTAAGTTTTTAGCTTTTAGATTTTAAGATTTAATCAAATTTTAGTTTTAATTTTTATCAAATTATAGTTTTTAAGTTTTAGGTTTCAAATTTCATTTAAGTTTTTACTTCATTTAGAGTTTTTCTTCTTTTAATTCAAGATTTTCCCTTCTACTTTCAGGTTCCTCAACATGGACAGCTGGCAGGACTAACGCAAATGGACTATTGAGGAGAGCTGGTTTGCAGGTGTGGTTTTCTGTCCGTCCGTTTTATAGTCTGTTCGGGTATTTCAGGTAAGTAACAAAAAATATATATATTATAAGAACCTTTTAAATAATTTGGTTTTTTTTTCCTTTTTTTTTGTATATACTGGTTTCCGGCAACCTATGAGTACAAATCTACCGCGACACTATTCATAAGTAGGCCTGAGCTCAATCCTAACCTTACGCGCACGCCTGGTTCAATTTCAACCAGCGGACTGGCTTCGAGCAACTAACCGTAAGGTTTGCCTATAAACGAATATAGGCTTTATTTTTTTTTTGTTTACTAAATTTTTTTTTATTTTTTTTATATATAGAAATTATCTAAAAGGACAGGTTCTGTCCGTCCTGTCGTTCGGGTAAGAGGTACACGTCTATGTCGAAAACCTTAATACCTGGGCACCATAGGACTGTTGGTGCGGATCTGCTAGAGTAGTCCCACGCTGGATGGAGCTGGCGATGGCGTGACTCAGGGTTGCTGCTTTAGTATTATGTTTCTCGCTTTATTTAGCTTTAAGATTGATTTAATTTAGTTTAAAACTTTTATGAATAAAAAAAAGAATTATTTAATTTAAATGAAGATTTTTTTTCTCTGACGGCCACGGGCTCCACCTTCTTCTTGGGCAGGGAAAAATGAAAAGACCGGCATTTTGGCTTTTAGGGACCGAGAAACCTCGGTAAACAAGATGGTTCCCTTCTATTTAATTAAATTTCAGCTATTCAGTCTTCTACAGTTTTTTTTTCTGGCATAAACATAAACATAAACAAAAACAAAACTATTTGTTTATGTTTTCCAGCTGTCAAACTGTTTACTAATCTGCGTTGCCAACTTTTTATCTAACTTCTTCTTTTTTAAATTTTGCCCTACTACAGGGTGCACACGACAAAGGGGACCTTATATGGGGGGTAAGGTCAATTATATACCGATCCATATAAAATTTTGTAGTGTGAATTTGGATCGCATGAAACTTATATGTGTCGAATTTCATCGGTATATTCGTATTTTTAAACCAGTAATAAGGGTTAAAACAAATTTGGAAGGAATGAAGAAATAGCTATCTGAACACTGTTGGACAATTTTTGCTAGCACCAATAGCCTTAATTGCCAATAGCGTTAAAGTCATTTTCTGAAGGGGACCTTATATGGTGGGTAGGGTCTATTATGGACCGATCCACATGAAATTAGAGAGTAATTGGCTCACATGAAACTTATGTATGCCGATTTTCATCGCTATATTCGTATTATTAAGCCAGTGATGATCATTATAGTCATTTTCTGAAGGGGACCTTATATGTGGGGTAGGGCCAATTATGGTCCTATGTCCGCCATAATTCATAATTTAATTTCGGAAGTTAAAAAACCGATTTATGCGAAATTTTGTGGCATTTGCTTCTTAAACAACGAATTTGTGAATATTTGAAGCTTTTTACACAATATAACCCCCCATCTTTTTTGATGGTGGGTATAAAAATAATACATCCAGCGAATTTTCTTGAAAAGGAGGGCACAATAGGCCCGCTAGTGGACTAGGTGTATATCTTCGGATTTGATGTAGTATACATCCTCCTATCAACCTAACTTAACCTAACCTATTCAAAAACTCTTTGTAAGAGAAATTGCAAGTACTTCTTTAACTCCCTATTCGTAGTAAGAAGTCTTATCAGCTTTTTAACTTATTATTATACCCTCCACCTTCGTGAGAAGGGTATATATAAGTTTGTCATTCCGTTTGTAATTTCTAAAATATAATTTTCCGACCCTATAAACTATATATATTCTGAATCGGAGTCGATTAAGCCATGTCCGTCTGTCTGTTGAAATCAGTTTTCTGAACACAGTATTTTGTTTTTGTTTTTTTGAGTATTTCGTTTCGTGTGTTTCATTGCCTTGTGTATGTTGTTTTTGTTTCTTGGTGTATTCAGTTTCGTATGTTGGGATGGCTGTCTATATTGTTTTTGTTTTCTTGGTGTATTGAATTTCGTATGTTTGGATGTCTGTTGGGTTCATTGCGTTGTGTACTTTGTTTTTGTTTTTTGTTTTGCATTTCGTTTCGTATGTTTGGATGTCTATTGATTTTACTGCCTTGTGTTTTTTGTTTTTTGTGTGTATATTTCGTTTAGCGTTGTTGTTCATTATGTTTTGTATTGTATGTATTGCTATAAGAATGATATAGTCGGGAAAATTAATTTTTAAATACACTATGGTCAAGGGTATATAAGATTCGGCACAGCCGAATATATCACTCTTGTTTTTCAATATAAGTTTTTCCTGGTATGTATATAAACTTACTTAAGTAAGTACTTACTTAAGTAAGTACTTACTTTAACATAAACTAAGCGCTAATTTCTTTTTACAATCACAGTTGTTATACATATTTTAGTACTTACCACATACTTTTAAACAAATTAAATATTTTAAATCAGAGATTCGAAAAGTTAAATCAATTTCAATAATTACAAAAAGCTAAACAGGTAAAAACATTTCTTATAATTAATCTTTATTTTCGGGTAACAAAATTTTTTTCAAAAGACCTTATATGAAGGTTATTATTTATTATAAACATGAATTTATACATAATTGGTAACGAAATTTGTAGAATTGTGCGGTTTTTGGTAAATTATGTAGTATCGTACTCAAATCATGTATGCATATATTTATATATTTTATGTGTTCTCAGTACTTAGGTTCTTTGATTTGATTAGATTTCTTGTTATTTAAAAAAATTTCAATTATAAACGCCGCGAACCATGCCTTCACGATTTCGTGTGTGCCATTTACACGTCAATATCCGTATATAAGTTCTTCGAAATGATGCATTGCAAAGAGCGTAGCACACCGGATTAATAGTAGAGTTAATGTAACAAAGAGCATAGAAAAATTCCCATAGCTCATTTGGTATACAATCGGAACAGGTAGTTAATGGTTTAATTAGAACTAAAATATTATAAGGAGTCCATGTAATAATAAAACTTAATAGTATTGCTGAAAGAGTTTTTGCAGCTTTGGATTCCTGGCGTTTTTCTTGTGATTTTTTCTTTTTCTTTCCAATGTTTCTTCCAGCTGCATGAACAGATTTACCAAGCTGTTTAGGAATTATTTTGGCATTAAGAGGAATTCTGACATCTGGAGAGATATGTGACATTCGACGTCCAAGGGGTAAACTGTATTCAGAATCTCGAGATGGTAAAGTTCGACGTGGAAGTAAATTAGTGGGAGGAATTGGGGAGTCTTCGTGTATCATTTTAATTGATGGTGTTATTTCCACGCCATTGCTTGCATTTCCACAATCTGGTGGCAATCTAATTAATATAGTATAAACAGATTCCTGACTAACTGAACGTGTTCCAATTTTATTGTTACATAAAGATCGTGACTCTCGGGTTCCTGTTACTGACGCAATGTCTTGAACTTGCGATAGTGGAGTTAGTGGATGTCTCAAAGGAATAGGTGATACATCAGGTAGTAAGATACTTGGTGGCCGAACGCCGCTTACACTCCCGCCTAAAGAGTATGTATCACGCATTATACTATGACACCTATTTAAATGAAAAAAAAAAAAAAAAATAGTTAAATATAATAAAACATATAATTTTTTTACTGAATGAATTTATTAAAAATGATTTTTTTATGTTTATAATTGTCATTTTATTAGCAGTGTTTCAATATCTGGTAAAGATTTTTAGTACTAAGTACAAATGTTGTATTATTTTGTCTGAAATATAGGCAATTTTTTCAAGTCTACATAACCTAATATCAAGCGATCTTACATTAGTACATTTGGGCATATGGGAATTTCCATGAAGAGGTCAACCAGGACTGAAAAAATAAACACCCAACAAATTTTTGTATAATACCAAAAACTTTGGTTGAGCTGATGGCCATAGTAGATAGTGTTCGTTTTTTCCTTTAACTTTATACTAATTCACTATTATGAAGTTTTTAAATAAATAAATAATTTTTGAAATCAATCTCTTATTACGAACTGGATTTCCAAATAGCGCTTTTGAGATAATTATTATATCTACAAGTTTATATTAAAACCCCAATAAAATACAGAAAATATTGAAAAAATTTAGATATTTGATTTAAAATAACCAATAGAAGAATAAGAAAAGAAAACAATAGAAAAATCGCGAATATTGAAACTTTATCTGAAATTTTAGCCAAATTTATTAAAAAAGTCAATGTGTCCACGTTTGCACTTTTAAATTTAATTAATCTAGCAACATAAATACGTATAAAAAATTAATTAGAGTACCGCTACTTGATTTACTTTTGAAAAAAGTATCAAAACAAACGGTTACCATTCTTGTGCCAAATTGTTAATTTTTTGCAAACATTTTAATTTTCAAGTTTAAATAAGAAAAATGTCACGTTTATTAGAAAACCAAATTGTTGAAATGGCAAAAAATAAATACTCTGGTCGTCAAATTGCCAAAAAGTTAGAAATTTGCCACCGAATAGTGCTACAAGTGCGAAAAAGAAAAAATATGAGCACACCAGAGGTTAAAAAAGTTCATTCGCGCTTGCTTTCGGAGAGAGATGACAAAGTAAGTATGCCAAAACGTATAAAAAGTCATAAAAGCCAAAGGACTTTGGATAAAATATTAAAAATTTGGGTTTTTTTAAACGTGCAATTAAATATCAATTTTTTGGCAGTTTGACGAATTGGCCGACTCATATCTTTAGAACGGTTTAACATATTTGCCCCTGTAATACATCAAATTGAAGCCGATAATATTTATAATATTTTATATGCATTAAATGAACTGTAAGTAGTACTGAATTCGAGATACCCCTTAGAGCGAAGATGAAGCCCATTTTATTTTCTATATTGTCAATTTTTGGAATAAAACAGTTATGTATTTAAAAGATCAAGTATACAATTTTTTTCATTTTATTCTTATTTAAATATATTCAAGTGACTGGCACATTAGGTTTTTGTTGCTCGTCCTTTTTAAGTAATTGGTTGTAATCTGTTATGAGCTAGCTGGACTCCTCGCTCTACCATGTCGTTCACAACTTTCAAGTTGTTTACCATCCTTTGCCCTTCCTAGTAGTTGATGTTCTGCGTCCAAGTTGCAGGATCTTTATCCAGAAATTCGGTGTTAATGGTAAATCTCCTGAACAACAGGTAAGCCTCACTTGTAATTAGGGATGGGAGTCCTTTTTCTAGGAATTTCGGCAATTCTTTTTTTAGTTTGGGTCGCATATTTCTGGAGTACTTCTCATTTTCTTCTGCTTGATTTGTTAAGATTTCTGTCGCCATTTGTCTCTTTACGGTGTTTTGCACTGTCGGGTCAAACAATGACAGGTCAACAATTTTAGAACTATGATACTACAGGTGATTTATAATTTTGTTAATTCCTTTTTCTGATATTTTTTGTCAATGCTTCCATATTTCAATATATTAAACTGGTTACGGAAGAGTTGTATTTTCAGACAGTAAATAGGCCATCCTCCGGGAATGGTGTACTGGACCTGGAGACCTGAAGCGTACATCTTTTCATTTAAAATGGCCAAGATATATCACTGCCAACTGTAACAGGTCCTTGTAGTCGTCTCTTGGCTGGCGTTACATTAGTTTTCTTTACAGTTTTATTTGATATTCGCTACTTCTTCTTTGGGCAGTAGTTTCAAAACATTTTCGCCTACATCGAACTTGGATTTATTAATCGCCGACCATTATTTTTGAAACATCTTGAATATGTCTGGTTGAGGTCCCTATGAGCTTCCAAACTTGCAGTCAAAAACCCCTCTCAACAAGACTTCTTAAACGTGGTGTCATGGCAAGCTCTCGACCTAACATCTGCTTTAGGATATTGCACGCTCCATTTATTTGATGCTGTTGTATCGAAGCACATATCCATGACCGAGCTGGCGAGATCCCATTCCTCTAGACATTGGTACAATGCTAGAGCTTGTTCCTCCCCAGTATACCATAGCAAACATATTTAAATGAAGTGAGTATTTGTCCATAATAATCAATAATAATACAAATAACGCATCTTCGCTCTCAGGGGTACCTAGTCACGTTCTTAGGGACATTAGCCTTTTTTCGGATTCAGTACTAGTTGCGGATTTTTTGCTTACAATATAAAATATTATTATTATTATAAACAGTATGACCTTTAATTTGATGTATGACACGTGCAAATAGCTTTAGCAGTTCCAGAGATATGGGTCGCAGACTACCAACAAATCTAGATTTTCAAAACTTTGAAGCCCCAGTGGAACGGGTTAACATCTTCCAATTGTGATTAAAGTTTGGCAATCCAAAAATCAAAACAACTTTTTAAATAATTTAAATAATTGATATATATTCAATTATTGTTTGGTCAAAAGTTGTAAAGGTTATTACAAATTCTTCGGATAATTTAGTGTCATAAAACACTTAAATGAGAAATATTCCAAAAAAAATCTCCACTTGACTTATGGACATAAATTGTGAAGGTTAAACTGTATATTAATACTTGTCAAAAATGTCTGTAACATAATACAATTTTCTAGTCTAAACCATAGCAGAAATATAGAAGGTAGTGTCAATCTCTCATTATTTTTTTAAATTTTCTATCTGACATGCTTAAGCATTTTGAAGTTTTCGTTAAATTAGTGATACCATATACAGTTTAATGTTTCCCATTTTATAATGAAATTTTTATATATACTTTGAAGTTTATGTAAAACATTTATAAAAATAATTTCAATTCAGTTAGAAAATATTATAAAAATTGTTCTTTTGAATAAAATCACATTTATATTAAAATCTTTGAAAACTAATTTGTAAAATTAATTAGAGAATATATATGAGCTGCATTTTCCCGAACTGCGAACTGTGAAGACAGAATTTTAGAATTTCAGGCAGGAGATCCTGATGTAACTTTAAGTCAACAAATTTTCAGCTCAATAAACGAAATACCAATAGATGATTTGGAACAACTTGAGCAGTTTTTAGATGAGATTTGCGATTTAAATGATGTTGAATTCGACGGTTTAGAGCATTTTGGCGGTTACATTATTTCAAAGATGGGTCTTACAGAACTTCAGAAAAAAAAGATCAAAATTGTCCGAGGGAGGGTTATATAAGCCAAATACCAATTTTTGAACCATTTGGAATACTTAAATTCAATTTTAAGATATAATGAAAAATCACTGTCAAGTAATCCAAATTATACGTCAAATTTGTTAAATTTATCTAAAATTGATTTATATAAGAAAATTGTTAAACGATTTTATCTAGGCCGAAAATTTTTCCGAATTAGGTTTTTAAACCGTCTTTAAAAAAAACAAATATTCACACAGCAATAAAGAAATGAAAAAAATTCTCACTTAATAAACCCGAAATGTGTTTTATTTATAAGTTTGTAGAGGAAATCAGTAATTTAATTAGCTTCCTTTAATATAACATAGATTTTATTTAGATAAATTAACTACACATTTTTTGTAAAATATTTCTTGAAATCCATTATTATTTTAAACATTTGGCAACTCTGTATATAAATTTTAAAATAAGGAAAACGTCAAAAAACCTTATTTAAATTTAATTTCTGGATTGGTCTAAACATAATTTGTATTTTGATTTTCAAAAATATAATACTGTTTTTTGGGCATACAATTTTTTAAAACATATCAAAAACTTTTTATTTTAAAACGTATTCGGTATGTATTTTATAAATACAATAAAAAACAAGTAAGAAAGTATAGTCGGGCTTGGCCGACCATATGATACCCTACACCAGTTATGAATATTAAATGTGATTTATTTTTCATAATAAAGCATTTATCTTGTATATTACCTTTATTCCGATTTATTTAAGAAATTTATTGACGAAAAAGTTATTTTCCAAAAGAGGCTTTATATGGGGGATAGGAGCAAATGTGGACCGATCCCGATAAAATGGGCTGGATAGATTTGTATTTATGTATATAATATGTTTTTGTCTGTGCTAAATTTCATTGCAATAACATGAATTGCGGATATTCAAGTCACTATCTGAAGGGGGCTTTGTATGGGGGCTAGGGTCAAATGAAGTCCTATCATTTCGAAATTCGGCGAGGTCATCAAAGCTTGTATAAAACTTAGTTGTACGAACTTTCATCGAGATACATTTATATTATACATAATTATGAGCTCAAAGGCCCTTTCGGGGGGTTCAGTTGTATGGGGGCTAGGTGAAAAAATGGACAGATTTTAACCATTTTCAATACGTCAATAGACGTCCTTGGGTCAAATAGTATTCCAAATTTCATCAAATTATCTTGAAAATTGCAACCTGTACTTTGATAACAACGTTTACATGGACACACGGACGGTCGAACGGACATCGTTAAATGTAGGGTATAACAAACAAAAAGTGTAATATACATTAAAAATAAGAACGAAATGTGCATAAATAATTGAATATTGGATATAAAATATTACAAATATTATAATGTAAATAGAAAATGTATTTATACCCTACACCACTTTAGTGGGGAGGGTATATTGGATTTGTGCTGATGTTTGTAACATACAAAAATATTCGTCCTAGACCCA